ACAATACATATGAACAAAAAGTAAGTAAGATACCAAAAAAAATCTCATGTAATGCAAGTTATTGTGTAAGACGATCTAATTGTTACACGAATCGAACCGTTGTATATCTTTTGTTTTTAACAAAAATGCAGATTTATGTTACGAAATATCATATTTTACGTTGTTTTAAGTGATTAAATCTGGCAATATCATTATACTGGGAAATGTTACTGTTCTGTCACGGTATCATCCGTCGAGTATTTTGATCGTTAGATACACATGTAGTCAGTATAAAATAGAGTATCTAACGGTTAAAACACCCGACGGGATGGTACCGTAACGGGACTATAACATTTCCCTCGTTATACTAATATAATTATCATCTTGTTATTACTTTCACATATTCACACGAGAGACAACGTTTGGCTGTCATATGATGATATGATTAATACCAAATTGACACCCAAATTTTTTATTTCTTGAAAAAAAAAAAACACTATTAAAATGAGAGACCTCTCAGCTCTCACAAAAACAATCCAAGAATAAAGACACACAGCCCCATATGCATCCATACTTATTCTCTTATCATCCATAAATTAATTTCAACAACCCAAAAACACAAACACACACACACACACACACACACACTCTCTTGCATAGTAAATTAAAGATTTTTTATTTTTTTTTTTTGGTTTTTTTTTTTCTCCCATATGTTCCTCTCTAGCAATCCATTTTTCCTCCAATTGAAGCAAAGAGAAGAACAACCAGGTGAGACCCTATTAGCCATTAGCCATTAGCCATTAGCTCAGTCACTCACTCTCCCCTGAATCTTGCATTTTCTTCACATAACCATAAGTGCAGGCATGAGTTCAGACAGCCAATCGGTTTCGAACAACCTGGAGATCGTGCGGGAGGCTGAACTGGAAGGTGCCGACGAGGACGAAGACGATCTGAGGCGTGTCCTGCCTTGGCACAAGCAGTTCACCTTGCGTGCCCTGTTCGCCAGCATGGCGCTCGGCTCCATATTCAGCGTGATCGCCATGAAGCTCAATCTCACGACCGGGATCACGCCTAACCTCAATGTCTCGGCCGCCCTTTTGGCCTTCATCTTCATGAGAACATGGAGCAAAGCCATGAAAAAACTCGGGTTTTTATCGACTCCTTTCACCAAACAGGAGAACACCATGATCCAGACGTGCGTTGTCGCCTGTTACACCATTGCTATCGGAGGTAGAAAAAATAACATTTTCTTTTTTTTTTTTTCTTTGCTTTTGGTGTTCATTTATTCTCTTTTTGTTATTTTCTGATTTTTTTTTTTATATGTATATTCAGGTGGGTTTGGATCTTACCTGCTGGGGATGAACAAGAAAACGTTCGAGCTTTCGGGTGGGCTCAGTGTGGTCGGGAATTATCCGGACAGTATAAAGGAGCCCGGGATCGGTTGGATGACTGCTTTTCTATTTTTAGTCTGTTTCATCGGACTTTTCGTATTGATTCCTCTTCGGAAGGTAAGCGATCAGAAGATGCAGGTTTTGATTATGCTTTCACTGTGTCAGTTCTTTTTAGTATTGATTTAGCTTATGCTAATTAATATGTTATGAAAAACATGGTCAACAGATTTTGATTATAGACTATGACTTGACCTTTCCGAGTGGCATGGCAACCGCAGTTCTTATCAATGGGTTTCACAGCAGAGAAGACAAAATGGGCAAGTAAGTATGCATTGGTTCACAAAGTTATACAATTTCAAAATAATTTTAAGTAAAGTGATTGAAGAAGTTCAAATCTGCATCAAATTCTGAAATGTGACCGTTGTATTAGAAGAACTCGGCAGGCCTGATAATTCAGTAGTCGACGAATATGTTGCAGGAAGCAAGTTCGGAGCTTCCTCAAGTGCTTTTCTTTTAGCTTCTTGTGGGGTTTTTTCCAATGGTTCTACACTGCGAAAGAGGATTGCGGTTTCGCGCAGTTCCCGACTTTCGGACTCCAAGCTTGGAAGCACTCGTACGATGTTCCTTTCTTCATTCGAAAAAATAAAAAAATTGTCCTGTTGTAGATAGCTTTAACAGTTAGTCACTGATCAACAAATTTGCGGTTTTCTTTTTTCAAATTGGACAGATTTTTTTTCGACTTTAGCTTGACGTACGTTGGGACAGGGATGATTTGCTCCCACCTCGTGAACTTGTCGTTGCTTCTTGGGGCCGTGCTTTCATACGGCATTATGTGGCCGTTGATTCGAAACCTCAAAGGCGAATGGTTCCCTGCAGACGTGTCCGAAAACAGCATGAGGAGTCTCAATGGCTACAAGGTCTTTATCTATATCCACTCTCTAATCTATCTATCTCTTACCTTAAACCTCCCACATGAAAACTAAAACTTTACAAGAAAATGCCGTACATTTTTCGCCTCGCAGGTGTTCATCTCCATTGCCCTTCTCCTAGGCGATGGCCTCTACAATTTTGTCAAGATTCTCCGCATCACCATACTCAACATCCAAATGCGCTTCAAAAACCAAAATCCGGGTTAGCTAGCTAGCTAGTTACTTCAAAAACCTTCCGTCCGAACACCGAAAAAAAAATCTCTAATCGTTTCCTTTTTCAACTTTCCTTTTTTTCAGGGCAGGATAACACCACCAACCCGCGTGGAAAACTCCGTAAAGACGTAGTTTTCATCCGCGAGAGCATTCCCCTCTGGGTCGGGCTACTCGGTTACGCCTCGCTGGCGCTCGTCTCGACCATTTTCCTCCCGCTCGTCATCCCGGAACTCAAATGG